GTAGTTATATACTTTAGTTTTGACATCATGTATATTGGCAACCTTTCATGCTGCAGCCATTAGATAGAATAATAGTTAACAACAGATATTTAACAACAACAGGTGAGAATCTGTGTGTTTTCACCATTAAGTGGGTTTTTCTTTGCCTCCGTGTGTGTGTATGTGTGTGTGTGTGTGTGTGTGTGTGTTGTGGCTTCGCTGCCTCCTTTCGGCTCAGTGCAGATGCCCACCTGCTTCACCTCTTCATCACCGGCCTGAATGCAGTGACCTTGTCATCCTGCACAGTCCCACAGGCTTCGCTGAGGTCCGATGACTGCGTCTCTGCTTTGCCAACAGAGAATCCTGCACACACCCAAATAAAAGCACATCTAAGAAACTGGCCCACAGGGTGCAGGCTGGCACAATCTTGTCACTTCATAACCTTAGAAATGATCTTTTATCCATGCAGAATCGCATGAAATAATGCTTCAACATTTTTGGCAAAGCTAATGTAGTAAACAGTGGTTGTTTATGTCTGTGTGTATAACACATATAGACCTCTTTATGGAGTATGTTAAAAATTGAGAAAGATCACAAACCTTCAATGGAGGAGTATTGGCATGTGTCTTGGAGTGCAGCATAGGATGAGCAGTGCAGTTGGAGGCCCTTGTGACTGTAGCTGCCAGTGCCATAGACTTTTGAGTGCAAGGACGAGCCCTCAGAGAAGGGGCTCTCAGTGTTGGTGACGCTGTTGGCTTCATGGAGGCCTCTCATACCCCCACACTGTCCGATCGGAGCCCCGCTAAGCCTGGCGCTCTGGAGCTGGCAGTCCCCGATTGAGTTGCCTGTCCTCAGCTCAGAGCCGTGCTGATGAGGGCTCAGTATAACCCCCGAGGCCGCCGTGCGAGCCAGAGACCAGATCCGCGGCTTGTCCGATGCGTCAAAGTGGGACAGGGACACAGTTCCCGCTGCGGGGCCAGTCGAGGACGGTGCCTTGGACTCCACAGGATCCAGGAAGTCAGATGGAAGGGGAGGGAGGGTGGTGAGGCCTTTAATGGCGCAGGGGAATGCGTGGAAGCTGTTGGCTAAACTCAATTGCAGCTCAGAGCTGCAGTCTCTTTTTTGAGGGACTCCGGATACTGCAATGGCCCTTTGGAGGTCCTGCTCATCTGCAGCTACCTTTTCAGAGTCACTGTCCAGCTTGTCACAGTCGTCCCCGTCCATGTCGTCCAGATCACTCAGATGCAGATCCTTTTCATCTTTGCAATCACTAGAATCTGCAGGTTGGTACAAAGGAGAGTTTAATGCAACACAGTTTAGTAGATTTATAGTGACGTACTTTGTTCGGAAAAAAACGCTTATATTTTCTCAAAGTTAAGAGTAAGAACCCATAGTTCTAGTTGGACTTGGTTACCTTTGGTGACACAGTCTTGGTCGCTTTTCAGGTCGTCCTTCCTGTCATCACTGGCCTTATTCTTTGGTGACCAGGTCATCTTGTTCTCCTTCTTTAGCCTCCTCCTGGCATTGGCGAACCAGGTGGACACCTGGGTGAGGGTCATCTTGGTGATGATGGCCAGCATGATCTTCTCTCCCTTGGTGGGGTAAGGGTTCTTGCGGTGCTCATACAACCAGGTTTTCAGGGTGCTGGTGGTTTCGCGAGTTGCGTTCTTTCTTCTAGCCGTGCCATTAAAGTCTACTGTCCCGTACCTGGAGAAAGGGAACAGACACATTAGTGCAGTTAGTGAGGGATATCTGCTCACACTTCTCTCCATGGAGATATCACTCTGGGGTTACACTCTGACTTTTGAACTTTATGTGGCACAAGTGAATGTCTGCTTTCACTGATCAGTGGTAAAATACTTTTTTTGCCAAGTCCACTCATATCACTCATATTTTGAGTGACCACAAATGGACAGACCTTACCTGTCGTATTGATACTGTCCCAGGGAATGATCATAAGGATAGTATGCAGCAGTCTGAGTGATGCCAGAGTGTAAAGTGGCTGTGCTGTCCTTGATGTCATACTGTGGATTCTGTAAAATAGAAGGAGAGTTGTTATTACACTGCAACAAGAGATTTGACTGTAAGATTATTTCTCAACATTTTGATAATTTTTGAGTTACATACATTTCTTACTGTATGCTTTTAAAGCCAGGAATCCCAGG